AAAATCTTCCAAAAATGCATTTGTGTAAAAAAAAAAAAAAAGTGCATGGACCGAATTTAATGGTAGAATAAAATTCACAAGTTATTAAATATAGTAATATATTTTATTAAATTACAAATATGCATCTATCCATGTGTCCGTGTGTGTAGTAATTTAGCCCATCTTCTTTTAATAAGTTTCGAAACATTTTATTGACCTCTCTGAAATTAGAAATTAAGTTCACTGACAAAGAGATATAGACCTTACCCATTTCTCTTGATAATGTGGATGAGAAGAAATGGACAAGGTTTTCTACTTCTTTTTTTGTCCAGTCCATACAGCTATGGATGCATGCAACATAAAAAGTACACAATGGAAAGAAATGTTTGGAAGAAAAGAAAATCATGAAGTTTAGTTGTGGTGTATTTATTAAAACCCGGAACTCTTCTTTTTTATTATTTTTATTAAATTAGGTATATAATTGCAAATTATTGTGGTGTATTTATTAAAATTATCTTTTAGAGCTTGTTTGGTATGGATTTTTGGGGGAAAAATTTATTTTTGAATAGTGATATGATGGGAAATATGTGATTGAAAAAGAAGAAAAAATTATTAATATGATAAAAAATATTATTTTATTGAAAAATGTGTGGTTGAAAATGAGAATTGATTTGAGAATCAATTCTCAAATCACTACGAAACACCCCCAATATTTCTTAAGATGCTCAGCATTCCAAGAAATATTGGGGGTNGAAGAAGTGATTTTTGAATAGTGATATGATGGGAAATGTGTGGTTGAAAAAGAAGAAAAAATTATTGATGTGATGGAAAATATTATTTTATTGAAGAATGTGTGGTTGAAAATGAGAATTGATTTGAGAATCAATTCTCAAATCACTACCAAACACCCCCTTAATCGTGGTGTGAATATAATGTGGTGCACTTAATAAATTTTGTAATGGTAATATAATTACCCAAAAGATAAAAAATATTTAGTGCAATTAGAAACTGGTGCAATAAAAACGCGTTATTGTAATCACCATATAAAAAAAAAATGCTAACACAAAAAAAATTTGAGTTAGAAATGAATAGCTTTTTCTTTCTATTAACTAAAAGCAATACTTCCATCCAAATCAAAAGGTGTGAAAAAAAAAAAAAAAACTAAGATAAAAATCTCTTTATTTGCCTCCAAAAACTGACCTAGGGAAATCCACGAAATCAATTTGAT